TCTGACTTGTTCACAGGTTTCACTGTAGGAGTGAGCCTCACAGCATTGCTCAGTAGCAGCCCTCAGTCCCAGGTAAAGCCAGGATGACCCTGCACAGTGCAGTATCATGAAGGCATTAGATTAGGGCCTACAGCCTATACAACAAATAAGTGATAAAAGTAATTTTTGGGTCATAATTATGAACTCAGGCTATTGAAAAACAAGCATTTATTCTAGCCGAGTCAGCCATTCTTACACTTAAATTCTGAAAGTGCCTGTGTGGAAAAAAAAAATAATTTCCCTGATCGCTTGTGATTTTCGTTTTTTATTTGTTTTTTTGCCAGTTATCTTCACAATGATACATATCTTAAAAGTAAGACCAGTGTAAACTGTTGTTGGAGCATGAGCTTATTTCACATGTGCCAGAAAGGAACCCTTAAATGACTTTGTTTACCACTAACACTACTTGGATTTTAATTTGCAACAGAAATTGTAAGGCTAGGTGTCTCTAACCAATCCTCTGAGAATGTTTTCACTGAAAATTAAGAAAAAAGAAGTCAAGTTTATGTGCTTTTTTGGTTCATTGTTGTATGTTAACATTTCACAAGATAACACGTTTCATTTATAATACTTAAGCTACAAACTGTTTCTAAATTAATTTGTTCTCAGATTGCAGTTTGCATTTTGTGATTCTGCTGTGCTCTTTCTTACTAAGATTTTTTTCCCTCAAAATACAAAAGTAAAAACAAGGCAATTTGTAGTTTAAGAGACTCTTGTTTGTCTAAAGAGAGCAGAATTTTTAAAAGGCCACATTAGAAAGAAACTGAACAACCACAAGTCTCAAACAGTTAAAGTATTAACTATGTATTTTGAATGCCAAAGGATGACATTCACTTGTTTCTTTTCATAGGGAGCAAGGACAAAACACATAGCAGTGATGGCTCCTTATCTAAGGTCTATGATTCGATACTTTGCAGGTGGCAGAGGACAAAACCAGCAAAATGCTCCCTGTCCTACCACTTCTGAAAGCAGAAACCCCAGGGAAGGAGAGACCCAGCTCTCTAAGCTCCTTACCTAATGTCATGAATCCACTCAAACTCATATTATGGCATAAAATCTTGATCCAGAGAAAGATTCTGTTGTGCTTAATGCCAGACAGAGATACTGATAAAAAATAAATAAATAAATAAATAAAATAAACCTTTTAAAACCTGGATTACTGCTTTATTTCCCCCCTGCCCCAGACAGATGATGTTTTAGGAGCCAAGAGAAGCAAAAAAAATAGTTTGATACCTGTCCTGATATCAGCCTAATCAGTGTGATGAAATGAACTGATGATGCATACTTGCACATGTATTTATTTATACCACAGACTGATCGCTGTCTAGATCAGTCCAACTTCTCCCACCCTCAGAGGATCTCCAAGATCTGGCTTTCTCTTTGTAGGCTGTCAAAAATCTTGTCTTCACATTATTCATCTCCCACTCACCCTAAATCTACTTAAATAAGTCAGTACCAAAAGAATCTTTTGAACATTTCATTTTTGCCACACACCATCTTTTTTTTTTTTTTTTTTTTTCCTGCTGGCATCGTTTTCCCAGCTGTGTTACAATTTCTATAGTCCCTATCCTTACAATTTAATTTTCCCATACATATATATTTATGTCACAGTCTGACTCTTGTCTCAGTTACATAGCTTGCCTCATCTTGCATACTTCTGTCTTGCATCTCATCTTGTACGAGTAGAATGTACTCTAAATTAACCCCCAGAATTACTATCTCCTCTTCAATCACAAGCATCCTATTAGATGCCAAGAGAAAGCTAATGCAAACCTGGTACAAGGCAGGTAGCATATTAAGGTTTTCTTCATTCTCCAGAAAAGAAAAGAAAAAAAAAAAAGGCAAAAATACAGATTCTGAAATATGCAGTTGTCTAAATAACTGCAATAGCTCAGAAGTCTCGAAGTTCAGGACCCCAATTTTACCATGCAACACTGGCGAGAAAAACTGCTAAAAATCTTACATGTGATAAGATAAAAAGAAATCACATGTAAATTTCATTAATATTAGTCATTAAGTAACATAAAGCAGGAAAAAGAAAAGAAAGATAAACAAACAACCAAACACCCCAAACCAAACCCAAAGGAAGAGCAGAGCAGCACCCCCTTAGTGCGCAGCGAGCTGGAGCCGCCAGCTTGCCCGTCGTCACCCGCACCCAGCGGAACAGCCCAGCACAGTGCTCCAGGCGACAAGTTACGTGAAGGGTGATTAAAGTTTTATTACAACTCCACAAAAAATGAAAATGCTGTCATACATCCTCATCACTCTCTTAGCTACTAGTTAAAAATGGCATTTGTACCAGAAACAAGTCTTTACACATGAAATCATTTACTTCTGCAAGAGACATGGTTCATAATACTATACATCCATCTTTCTGTGACAAAAAGTTTTTTTTTTTTTTTTTAAAAAAAAAGATATTCAATTGATTACTGTATACCAAAATAAAGGAAAATTCCTTCTGTTGGAGTGGTTTAGGTTCTAAATGGAACAGGGAAGTCTGGAGAAAAAAAGGAGGGGCATATAAAGAAAAAAAAAAAAAGCAGGGTGAGTAGATGCCCCATGTTACATAGACTTATCTGCAACCTTAAGATTTTATTTGAAGATGAAACATTTTCCATTAGAGACCTAAATAAAAGCTAAACAACAAAATAACACACACTTAATCATTCTAACAGTCCCCAGAAAGCAGATTCCCACTGCTGTACCTGCTGCAAAACGCCCGTCTTGCACTTGAGTCACAATAACCCAGCCGAACAGGACAGGCTGCTGCATGACAGCAACAAGCAGCTTCGCAGAGAAGGCCCTTAGCGTCCTGGCGGGCTGGGGGGCAGAAGCCGGCAGTGCCTCGAGAGCAGGGATTAGTGCCCTCTCCTTAGCACCCGTGCACTGGAGCTGCAGCCCCAGGACAGGCACACAGGACACCAGGGCACCTCGACTGCACGACCACCAGGACCGTCAGAGGGCTGGAGAACATACAAAGATCTGCAGGAGCTGGGCTTGCTCAGACATGAGGAAAAGGGAATGCAGTAGCTCTTTTCAGCTACCTGCTGGCGGTTATAAAGGAGATGTGGCCAGGTTCTGCTGCCTGGTGGGCACTCAAAGGACAAGAGGTACATCTGACAAGATAAATTCCAGTGAGGTTAAAGATACTCAATAGCAAGACCAGTCAAGTCCTGGAAAAGGTTGTCTAGAGAGGCTGTCGAATTTCCACCCTTGGAGATGCTCGAATTTGGACTGGACAAGACCCACACAATCCCACTGGACTCTGAAGAAAGCCCTGCTCGCTCCCTTTCATCAGGCTAATACTATAGTATCCGCAGTATATGGCCAGTATTTCTAACACTGGAATTAAAATGCACACACAGTATGGTCTTACACCATAACCATCAAGCTATTCTTTCCTCAGCAGCTACACACTCACCTTCTACGTTTATCCCTCTGCATCCCAGGATAACCTTCAAATCACTACATTTGCCTCAGGATTTCTCCTGTACGTTCTGTGCCCAGACTCAACAGCCTGGGAGTCCCACGGTCCCTGGCACTCACTCCCTCACTCATTTGGTTGGCAGGCAGCACATCACCCATTTAATCTAACTTCTCACAAGCCACAGCAAGAATAGGGCTTCCCCCCTCCCCTCAGGCAGTGCAGTTAAAAAAAGAAAAAAATAAATTGTTTTATTTGTTCAAAAAGGTCAAAATTTCATAAAATTAGTCATTTGCAAGTCAGCCAGTCTAAAGCCCACTTTCTAGTCTAAAACAGACTAAAGTCTAACAAACCAAAGTTTGGTTGTTGTAGTTCCATACCTAACACCGTGAGCAAAACTTACCCCAACCTAAGATGCCTTTGTGCCTCCAACAGATTAATGGTGCAGGGAAAATAAAAAGTTCCATTTCGGGAGTCACAAGAAAACAGTTCTGGATGTGCACCCCACTGCACGGATTTTAAAGGGAAAGGACACAGTGGAAATCGTAAACAAGTTATTCTTCCCTCAGCACTGAAATTCAACTTACATTTTTTAATTCTGCTTCAAGTTCTTCCACTTTTTTTTTCTGTCTTTAAAAAGGGTACTTGATACAATATTTTGTTCATAAAAAAAGTAAAACTTGTGATCTATGAAAGTCTATACATAATCCTCATGAATCAGTGATATTTCTTTGAAAAATAGGTAGTTTTACATTTTAGAAGTCTCTATTAGAAGTCTCTATCACAAATATTGCAAAAATACTTTAAGTAATTATAAAACTATTTCAGATACTAACTCAGTATAAAAATATCTTTATTAGGTTCACTACTTCCCTGAATCCATACTTAATCCTAATGTAGAACAAGGAAGAAGGTAAATTCACATACTTGATTTTCTGAATTACCAATCAAAACACAATAAAACCAATTATGTTTGAGTAGGATCCTCCGAAACTCATTTCCACAGTAAAAGCTTAACCTACTATATTTATTATAAATGAATCTGAGACAGTTCTCTTTTTGATAAATGTCAAGAAGCAATAGATCCAAGTGCTGACAGTAATCTACACACTTGTCATATACTTTTCTTGGGAAACATGTCTGTGCAATTCTAGAAACAGGTAAAAACAGATAACTAATATGAGCATTCTGCCACTGATGGTTTCCCCAAAAATATTTGAGAGGGATTTGATTTGTTTTTGCATTTTCTTAATCTGGCACATAACTGAGGACATCTCTTAAGTTAATTTTTCATGCGATGATAAAGTTCTGCCAGGATGCACAAAGATTTCTAAGCGTTGACAGCAGTGCTATTTACATCATCTCAGGACTGCAAGATCACATTCCTACCACAGCTAACATTTAATCTCAAAGTAATGCTATTATTCTTTTATGCTGACACTATTTTCATATTGCATCCACCCAGAAGTATAAAAATACTGAATGTAAAACAAAAACAAAAGTATTAACATGAAAGCAAAACTGCTCTGTGTAGCAAATTTTGGAAGCCAAAATAGTTATATTTTTGGAAAACATTATTCAATAAAGGAAACCTTAAAAGTTCCTTGATGTTTCAAGTTGAGTTTTTCACTAATGTCTCCTGATATGCAATGAATCTTCTCAAATTCATCTTCACGTTGTCAAGAACACAGAGCTGATCTGCACTATATTCTCTTTTCCCTTCTTTTCGCATCTGTAAATCCAAAACATATATACTTTACTAATATACAATTTTTTTTTCTGTTAGGTCATTTAAGTTTATAACAACTGTGTGTATGTCCTTGAGCAAGCCATGATATTTATCCCTCTTGAGGGCTCCAACATAACATGTTCATATGCCTACAAGCTGATTAAAGATTAGCGATACATTCTACAAGGCATTTTCTTATGAAACACCATCTCTGCCTGTATCTGGCCGTAATACTACCGACATCCTACTTCCGTCATAAATTTGAAATATACACTTATTTTCTGTATCTATTTTAATAAAAGATCTTGCTTATCTAATGGATTGAACAACTGCAGCACTGTCCATTATGTATTGGACACATACAGTGCTTTAATTTAAGACTATGAAAGTCAGTCCGCAGGCTTTATCCGATTAAAAGAAACAATGCCTTTAAAGCTGTTCAAGTCACAAACATTTAAAATTACAGCTTAGAAAACACAGAATATGTGATGTATTTTAATTAACCAGGAACAGAACAAAAACACCACAACCACAGCAAGCTAAAAGATGAAAGGTGTTGATTTAACTTCAAAAGGGACTTCTTCCTTTCCCTTCCCCTCTGAATCAGCTGTACTTGGTCCTCCTCCAGGGACATCTAAAGAATTCACTTTGCAAAGGTTTCAGAAAAATACTGGGATTTGGACATCAATAATGCTGATGTGTAATGCAGACTCTACACTTTAACCTTAAAATAGTTATATGAACTGCAAAGTAACAGCAGGTATTTCAACACTTCCAAAATTTTTCACCATTTTTAGATCCATATATTCCCGCTTAATTATTTCTTTTCGTGGCAGTCTCAAGACTTAAACCACATTGAGTGTTGGAACTCTGAGCTGGCTGCATTTGATGCCTACCCTCATTTTGAATACTGGTTGAAATTCTTTCAGTGCTGGGAGTAACTTAATTTGTACTGCTGCCTTTTCCGCTTCTTTACCATCTGCAAACACATCAAAAAGTGCATCCAGGGCTTCCCCGGCTACTACAAGAGAAGATTCCTTCATAGCAACCTCAAGAAGAAATTTTCCAATCATCTGAAATAAAAAGAGAAAATGTTTTTCAACAGTGTTTACAAAAAAACTGAGAGAAAAAAACAAAGCAGTTCAGGCTTGAAGAGAAGAGTTTGTTGTTTCACCTTTAGTGTTTCAGCTGTATTTTCTGATTTTGCTAGGACGCTGCCCGAAATTCCAAGGATGCTAACTACATTCACTCTGACACTGGAGTTGCTGCTGTGAATAGCAGCTTCACATAGAGCAATAAGCTGCTCAGGAGTCATACACTGTTTAACAAGGGAGAAAACACATATAATTACACTTCTATGGAAGCTTGTAAGACATTCGCATCATTTGCTTCTACAGAAAAAGACTGGCAAACTTGTAACAGAGGAGCAGTACTCCTGTTTTACAAAAACCATGAATCCTGAAAAAAAATCTAACAGCAAGAAAACAGTAAAACCCTCCCTTTCAACTTCTTAAGCTGTTTCTCCAGAACATAACCAACAACACAACAAAGGGAGAAAGTTTCAAGCCCAAAGGGGTTTTCACAAATTTACCTAGCTCAATACCAGTTCATTACAATGTACACTATAAAAACTCATTTTTACTCTTCAGAGTCAAAAAGAAGCAGTGGACTATCTATTATAACATCTTGTATAACAAACTATTATGCTTCACTCATATTTAGCTCACTAATATGTTTGACAAAGATTCTAGAAGCAGCAAATAAAATAAATAATTTTGGACACTAATTTAGTGTAAAAAATAAAGTCTTCTCATTATACCCATCTCAAAGATGTGACATGGTGAATATTACCATTTTGCTCTCGAAATACCTTTCACTTGTTCACATGTTTTGAAGATTATCTATAACATAAACTGTTCCTGACAGATTCATTAGAAAAGAGAGAGATTTAATGCTGTTAAATCTGTACTTTCAGATCTGTCTTGTTCAGAATTACAGGATTTTAGCTCTTTACATTTAGGCAGTTCAACCTTTTACCTGGGAGATGTTCTTTGATGCCATTGTTTGTAAGAGAGCCCTCAAAGCACTGGTTATGGCTTCCAGGAATTCTGTGTCTTTAGGGAATTCTGTCAAAGAATTAAACCCAAAGCCAAAAGTTAAACAGGAAGATGAACGATATAAGCAGCAAAGAAATAGGAATGCCTTAATCCCACAGTTGTTCCTCCAGGTTCTACCACAAACAGGAAAAGCTAGATTTTCAGAGACTGGTATTTGTAAGCTTGTAACCACAGTGATTTTTTTTTTCTTTGAATTCACTATTTATTGTGCCTGAAGATTAGATTATAGTTATTTAACATTTCCTCAGTTTCCCTGGTTAAGACACTTACGTAATCTAATGCATGGCACAAACCATCGCAGTCAAAACAGAAGCTTAAAAACTGAGCATTGTACGCTGGCCACGATACTGCAAGCAGGAAAACCACGGTAGCTACTGGATACACAACTCCTGCGTAAAGAATTTATTTTCCTATGGTTCAACAACCTTTCAGAAAGGTACTATTCAAACAGTGTGTTTCTCTCATGTAGTGAGAAATCGTTATTCATCAATACTAGCTATCCTGCATTTTGTTCTTATTTCCTGGACTATTCCCGAAGCAGAAATCTTCGATAATTTAAAGCATATCTCCTTTCCTATTTAAGCAACTAGGTCTTTATGTCTCTTGTTGACCCTGTAAGTCACAGAATTCCTTCTAACCGCATTTTGGTATCTCATCTGCTCTATCTAGCAGTTTCTGTTAGATAGCATTTAACTATATCAAAAAAAATGTGTTTAAAAAAAAGGATACGAGCCATTAAACTAATTTATTATTACCTCTCTTCAGCTGGCCAGTTTTCAAGTTTCATGGAAGAACTTTCTGAATATTGCTAAATATAACATATAGGTCCTTTTAATCTTGTTCTTCAAGCATAGGACAGGCAAATATTTCGCATACACTTTTCCACATATATGTTTGTATTTATTTTCATTCCCTGTATTTTAGTTTTTCAAGCACTATGATTTCATGAAATATGCTTTCTTAGTCATAAGGTTTCCATAGATAGATCACATGCTTTTAATGACTTTTTGAGGAAAGAGTATGTTTTGCAGGCCAGGGCATTTTCAAGCATCTATTAATGCCAAGTTGAACTACAGTGAGTAAGAGCTATACACGCCACGTTTGTAACCACAAAGAGAGACATTTGGAGGAATGGAAGAAATCTCCACTTCTCAAGCTCCTAAGACTGGAAATGAATAAGTAATGCACATATGACATTTCAAGAAATTTGTCTTGTGATAAAGATTTTCTTGCTGGTTTTGAGAATTAGTAGGTTTTTCCAGTCCGTAGAAATATATGTGCTGGTTATTGTTTGGTTTTGCTTGGGTAGAACCATGCCATACAACTGATCTTAAAGGAAAAAAACATTGTTAGAATAGTTTTAGGTATATAGCATCCACCTCTATATATGCTATATAGAGATATATAGCATCCATTTAGTTTATAGCATCCAGCAGGATATGCTTGATATTCCAAAACAGTGGAATATCATTTTTAGGAAAAATGGAAATTTCCCAACTTATTGCCTTCTCAATTCAAGTTAGGTCAACATCACAGCAGGAAGTCTGATAAGCAGCTTAATAAGAATTTTGCACACTTATTAATATATTTTCAAGAAGGCTATACAGCCACATGAATAATGCATGTCCTGGTGACCCAAAGGCTGTTTTCTTTCCCACTGTAATAGGTAGGCACTCTTTTTCTTTTAAGGACTTTTACAGCAACTACTTTTGATATTTTCCTAAGATTTTGAGAAAAAAAAAAAACACACATAAAATATTGCTGGACAAAAGACTGCTTCATTGCAGGTAGTTAAGTTAGTCGGCACACCTTAAAGAAAAAGGTGTCACCATCTTCATGATAAAATTGTTGATTGGTGAAAAAGAGCTATTATCACAAATATAATATCAAGCAAACTAGTTCTCATCTCGCAGCAAGGCAGGGTTTATCCATTAGCTTTCTGTTTGCACACACAGATGTAAAGCATATCCTTGCACGAGGAGTGTGCTTGCTCAGGATGCAATCTGGATAAACAGATTACATCAGGGTTCGCTGTTTTGTCAGCCTATTTCCAGCATTCAGTACCCTTGTTTTGAAGGCCGAGCATATGAAATTAATAAAATGGCATTAAAACCACTTAACAATATGCACAGTAATTTATAACCCTATGATACAGAGCAGCAAACCCTTTTTACTGAACAGCTTACCTGTTTTGGAAAAGACCAGCTGTGAGAGATGCTCTGCAAGGCATTGGAGTGCCGGAGCTCCTCCGAGACAATCCACATCTGACACTAATAAAATGCTGTGAAGACAGGTCAGAGCTCTGCACTGCACTGTGTTCAGCCTGAAACAAACAGGAACGCGCTCAGCAGATCTCCTTGTAAATGAGGGCTGGCGTACAGAAAGGGTTCCTGAATGAAAACTGTAATCCACTGTGTGGTTTACACAAACATTTGCATCTCTTCAGTGAGAAAAACAACAACAAAAAGAAACCTCCAAAAAACCCAAAAAACAAAAACACCCATATATATATATATCAGGTCTGCATTATCCAAAATTTTCAAGTAACCCAAAGATGGACAATCCTTCCAAGAATTCTGTAACAACTGAATATACGTGAAATATAGTAAGAGAGACAAGAAAATTCCTACTTTTTAATTAATGGTTTCCAAGATGGATTGTGCGTACAGATGTCTAGAGCAACACTGTTCGGAAAAGAAGTTTTTTCAAGAATCTATGAGAAAAAAAGAAAATAAATTTTAGCAATAAAGTTTTGGTTTTGGGCTTGTTTTTGAAGTGCACAGGGGGAAAGCTAGAAATTTATTTTAATGACAAACAGCTATCTCAAACTACTTATTTTACACATGATTTTCTTCAAATTTCTCCACTTAGCAGAAGTCTCACCTGCTGAAAATGTCAAACTTCCTCAAATGCTGTACTTTAAGCATCCAACTGTACAGAACAGAAGGTAATTTCCTAAGTCTCTCCTATTTATTTTTTAGAATTTCTTAGATATTCTGCTGCACAATGCTCAGATAGCTGCACAGCCCAAAGACTTTGTGAAAAAACATACACAGATCAGTAGCAAACAAAAACCCAAGGTCATTCATTGTGCATCTTGACATTTTTGCTCAGAGTCCTATCACATTGCTAAACCAGTGTAATAACTAGTTCAAAGGAGGAATTGCACCTTTACAAGCCCAAGTAAAAATGAACGAAACAATTCTGAAACAAGTTCTTGACAGTGTCAAAC